AATCCTATCAGATCCCTTTGCACATAAGTAAGGTTGTAGAAGAACCTGCTACTCATATGTTCAGAGGAGAGAGGGTACTTAAATACCCCCCAGAATTGATATCATGATAGCGTTGCATCTGTCAATGAACTGAAATTTGACATTCTGTTAGTGACTTAAAATTGCTGTGTCTATCTCAGTGAAGGAAGGGAAGGTTTCTGAGTAGGAAAAAGGGGTGAGAAACTGCAGTAAAACCTCTATGCTTCTATACCATCAGCATCTCCTGTTTTCACATCTTACTAATCCTCTCCTAGAGCTATTTCTCTTTTTATTTCCAACCAGAAGTCAGAATACTATTTGTTCCTGCCATTTTTTAGGTAGGAAAGAAAAAGTGGTGACAAGCAGGAAATATTTAAACAGCTAACTAGAGTATAATGGAAAATAACAATCTTCATTTTGAAGCTGAAGGTGGAAATTTTTGTATTTGGTATCTGATTACTGCTTGCTGTGTTACACATGGTTCACTTTCTTATTGGATTCTTATCCACACCAGGCCAAATGGCAGTCTAAGTTAAAGAAGGCTCTAGCATGTATTTAGAGTTCTTTTCTCTTTTTTGGGCTGAGGGTGGGATAGACTTTTAAGTGCTGTCTGTTGATCAAGAGACTACACAGCATGAGGATGACAAAATGCTGGGAGAGGAAAGAGTATAAATAGAAACCCCACTTCCTTGTTGAGTAGAAGCCAAACTTGTGGTTGAACCTGTATATACAAGAGTTTCTGAGGTCTGAATAGGCAGCTAAATGCCAGTTGTTGAAGATGCCAAAAATTCTGAGATCTGAGGGGGTTGTACATACTGCAAACTAACCTGGGTGTTTCTTACCTGGTCAGCACCTGTCTGCAGTATGTGGAAAAGAAGGTGGTACTGGTGGAATTTAGGGAATCCAGCACAGAGTGGAAGAAAAACCTGTGTCTGACCTTCAATTGCAACATCATTCATATGGACCTGAAAGAGGCTCAATACAACCTAAAAACAGCCTCTCAAGGCTGAGAATTGAGAGTGTCTGGAAAGCAGGATAATGGTCTACTGCTCTCTTTCCAAATTTGAAAATATATTTCCATTGTTCAGTAAGAAAATATTTTTCAGGAATAAGCATTATTTTTTTCCTGATAAATTCACCAAGTGATCTCCTGTATGTCACTAATTATGCTGCTGATGTTTAAACCACATTACATTGCACACAACATCCTTCATTACTAATGCTTAGATTCTCAAAATAGTGCATGATGTATTAAATACGTGACTTCAGTTTTTTTGATATGAGTTTTATGACTAAAACTTTGCATAATGCTTTTAAGCCAAAGGATATATGAGCCAGAATCTAATTGTCTTGTAAAATGAATCATTTTGCCTGTTATCTCTTCATTAAAATACAGCTTTAAACTTCCTCTAGTTCAAACAAATTAATTCAAGAAATCTTATTGCCTGTATTTATATGGAGGTTAGGCAGGATGGTTACTGTGGTCCCTCTGACCTTATCTATCAACATATTTACCATTCAGTTCTGATGAAAGGCTGGAATGGGAGTGCTGATAGCCCTGCCTACTGAGGTCATGTGTTCTTGATTTTTTCAGAGCCAGATCTCCATTGCTTAGTTTGGCAAAATTATAATTACATACCTACTTGTATCAGGAATCTGTAAGAATGTTTTTTCTTTCGGTCAAGGACTATAAATTTAATTTGTAAGGTGCTCAAAATTACCCATCGTAGTTCCTGTTCCCAAAAGTCTGCTCTCATGGGATGTCTGGGGTTCACCTTCCTCCACCATCCTAACATCTGGGTAGGCAAGAAGAGATTGTAGGGAGAAGAGGAAAACCAGATCAGAGGGAAGCATTTGAGAAGCGAGACTGACAAGGGAAGAGAAACTTTGACTTGCAGTTAAGGAAGAGATTAGAAATGAGGTCAATGGGAAACCAAGGCAAGCTGAACAAAAAAATTGGGTTGGTTATGGCAAATGTGATAAGGCTGGGAACTGGTAGAGCAAGGAGAGCCTGGGTTTGGGGAGGTATGTGAAAGTTAATTAATCACTTGGGCTAATAGAAATTAGGATAATTAATCTGTTTGGATACTTGAGATAGGAACCAAACAAAGAAGAAAACCAGAAATAGTGTTTTCTCCAGAAAGCTGTTCTATTCTCATGGACATCTTAGATGGTTTAATCTACAGCTGCCTATAAAGTCATTAGCTCAAGTAATACTCATCTTTATAAATTTTTGTGTGTTATGTTTGCAGGACTGTATAACTGAAAATCTGGAAGGATGCTGGGGTTTTCCTATTTGCACTTTTTTTTTTAGCAAGAGATCTGCATTAAAGTTCAGTTTACAAAGTCAGCTTGAATTGTGAAAAACCATAGATACTATGAACTTGCCACCTGTGGGAGCTGGATGTCAAAGTTCGAATTGAAAAGATACTTATTTTCTCTCCCAGTAAGCTATTCTTGTTCTTCTTTTCTTGTGAACATTTTTACATTTTTGACCTTTTGGTCCTGATTTCAAGCTATCATTTATTTTCATCTTAAGGAAATCTAATCACAGGAAAAAGTATATTCCAGATAGCATTAGCACATATCAAATCACTCTTTTGTTTCTTTGAGTATAAAAACTTTCAAGCGCTTTCTAAGGACAATCTGTAAGGATAAAGAGAAAAAATTTCCCTTGTAACGCTCTTTTGCTATGTTTATGCATACACCCAACTATACCCAATGTGAGTCATCTCATTGATCTCAATTAGCTGTCCCTTTGCTGCTGGCCGGCTAACCAGCTCTGCCCTTTCACTCCTGATTAGGCTTTGTCCAGCTAGCTGCAGCCTGCTCACATCTTCACAAGGCTCCATGCAGCCAGCACAAGTTCCCCTGACAAATCCCGATCTCAGGGAGGGGTATCCTGTGTTTTTCCTCCTGCATCTTTTATTGAATGTAGGACTGGGAGGGAGCACAAAAGGTCATTCATCCTCCTTGTGTTGGCAGGAGTGAAAGCATTCATAACAGATGTTTCTTCAACCTCTCTCGAAAATCCTTCAGAGTGGACATTCTGCTGCTTCCTCAGGTAGTTGATTCTTAAGCAGCCCTTACTTCTGGTGAAGCTGATCTTGGTAAATTTCCTAGTTTAAACTTATTTGCAAATGTATCAAAATCATCCCTTAGTCTCCCCTTCCTGCATCTGCCGACCATTTTCATGCCTCCTCAAGTTTTTGCAATATTTCATTGCAGGTAGCATTTACAAGTTTTTCTTTGCAGTTGTCTCCTTCATTACACATGTAAACTAAAGGTTTGACGGAGTTTATTTTCATGGCCATTACTTATATCATTATAGGTGCTTACGAATTTTGTTTTTTTGGAGTACTGTGGGGAAGAAATGCCGATGAACTGACTCCTAGTCTCCTTTGTTCTCTTTTTTTCCATTCCTCCCACTCCCTTTCTTTTTTAGAAGAGATGATGTGAATGCGAGTACTTTGGAGTATTTCATATAGAGAATTACTAGTTTACCAAGAAGCATTTTTCAGTTCCAGAAAAGATTGTGACAAGCTTAGACATTAATGGAGCTAGTATGCATTAGTGACCTACAGTTATTAAAACATATTAAAAGCATACCCAATGACTAAATATCTCTACTTGTTTTTATAGGATATTTTACTAGGTACTGCTCTGTACCCAAGCATCCTTTGGGGCGTGTGACAGCTTGGTGCAAGGCTGCATGGCCCCAGGTGCCACCAGCTTCCAGGATCATTGGGCATGGGCAGAAGCTGGCTGCTGTCCTGGTGGGCTCTTCCAGGCGCCCTGCTTCTAGCAAAGCCAAAAGCACAGACTTACCAAAGGAGTAAAACTAAAGTAACACGAACCTTTTCATTTAGAACTGTGCCTGCAGGACTCTTTTTAATGCAGGCTTTCAAAATAATCTGCTGCAGAAAGCACCATCAGTTCAAATAAAAATAAAACCAAAATTATGCAGCTGAATCTTTTTCGTCTCTCTAAGTTGTCTCGTACAAACTATTTGTTGAGTAGCACTAACAGCATAAAGACATAAACCACAGGATCTTCACAGTTTCTTGTACAGGCTCTCTCAGACAAAGACAATTACAGAAGATAGATTGAGTGGGTTGGTTGGTTTTGGTTGTTTTTTTTTTTTGATTGGTAGATTTGTTTTGCTACCTTTACATTTTTAAGAAAGTTGCTAATGTTACTTGTCTTTCTAATACCACTTAATTACACTGTCACTATTTTATTGCTGAGATCTGCTCATCTGAGATTGGCACCAGCTGCAGCTTTTCAAGTAAACTGGTATCTGTGTTGTCAGTGCCATCCTGGGCAGAGGTAGCCATGTCCATGCCATGGAATAAAAATAGTGGCCAGCCTGTCCTCTAGTAATTTTCCTGAATGGCCAAAACCAGGGATATGCATATGGTCTGCATATGCTACTCCTCTGTTTCAGCACTCATGCTCAAATACACCCTGTGCAGAGCCTAGGTTGTAAATGAGAATGGAGTGGCCACGCATGTGTCCTAGC